ACTATTTGCTCTTCTTTTCTTTTGTTGTTTTGTTTCTTCTTTCTCATGGTTCCTCCCATTAGTTCTAATTCTTCTTTATATCATGACTAATGTGAAAATATGTTTAATATGAATGTGTAAGTAGAGCCTATATCAGACTGCACGCCATCCTGGGGAGAGTGAGAGGAGGAGAAAGGGAGAAATCTTATGGAAATGAATGTTGAAAACTAAAAATAAATAAATAATTTTTAAGAAAGCAAAACTTCCAAGTTTTTAAGAGGAAATTTAAGACATGTAAAACAAAGCATCACATTATTCCTTTATTCCTCAACAGGGCAGACCCTGGGGTTCTAAAGGCCATATCAGAGAGTCAAATTCTGGCTGGTCCAACAAACTGAAAAGGGTTAGACTACTGGTCTGATTAAAAATCATATAAATTGAGTTTGAAAGCCAGCTGGTTATGTTTTAGAATTTGCTGCCAACCAACTTGGCAGCAAGGTGGCAAATCTTCTGGCCACAATTACCTTTTATAGATAGATAGGTTGTAACCTGGGTATCCACGGCCAAGAAACTGCAGCTTATTTGAAGTACTGAAGTACTTTGTTACTCTATGTCTTTAATGCTACTTCAAAAGATTCAAATGAAGGCCTATCCCTTGAGAGAATCTCTAGGAAGACAGAGAGGATGAGAGAATGCCTGGATATGCTATGGTCTGCAAAGGCTGCAGGGACTGCAGGGAGTAAACACACACAATTCTGCGGTGGAATAGGCTGACCATGTAAATGAGACTAAGAGAGTTTAAATTCCAGTATGTTAAATCCATAATAGGTGGAGAACAAGGACAACCACTGAATTCCCATAAAACTTACTCTAGCACCATAGTCTACAATACTAGGCTGGAAGAAAGGTGAGTCTGACATAATGATTTCTTTTTTTAATGTCTATATAAAAAAAATCTAGCCATAATTCCTGCCTAAAAATAATAATAATAATAATACAGCAATGTGCAGTAATTACCATGACTACCTAATGAATAAGCATTTTATTAAGCACCTACTAAACTCCAGGCATTGAGCTAGGTATTGGGGATACAAATACAAAAATGAGTCATCCTCTGTTCTCAAGAAGCTTACATTTAACTGGGGAATATAATGTGTTCACCGATAAGTAAAGATAGGATACATACAAAACAAATTGAGCTGAGCTTTGAAATATATAAATTGTCATAAAATGAGGATGGTTTTTAAAAATGGGGTTTAAAAAGCTGAAGGCTGCAAGGAGGGCAACCAAAGATTTGATGACAGAAGAAAGTGGAAAAGATCAGCACCATATGCTACAGGAATGAACAGGAGAGGTAGAGTCATGTGTAATATCAATGGAAGTTGTTTATTAATTTAATACCACAAGAGAGGAAAATGCCCTGGAAGGGTGAACCAAACATTTGAAAAATTACATGGACAAAGCCCGATTTGGGAACTCAAGGAACTTGCAACCTAGTGACACAACACATACAAAATAACTGTAAGGTAAACTTTGTAAAGAAGGAATACAAAGTACTACGGAAGCATGAAGGGAAAACAAGTTACTGCCCTGTGAAACAACGTTTACTGGAGAAAGGAATATCTGATGAAGGCCTTGAATGATGGGTAGGATTTTGATGAGTTAGGGTGAGTAGGAAGGGGTGCTTTTCCAGGAGGAAAAACATTTTAGCTTATGTTCAGATAGGAAGATTTATACTTATATACTTTAGTATACTTAAGAAGAGGTAAGTGGTCTAGGAACTGTGAAATGAAATGGGAGACTAAGCTGGAAGGGTAGGTTGGGGTCAGACTGTGGAAATTCCTTGAATGCCAGACTGAGAAATCGGGATAAGAAATGTAAAATCTATCATATTATCAGGGTAGTTAGCACCAAATTTAGGGACCACACCAAAGACTCATACCAAATGAATAGGGGCCAATGAGTGAACTCAAGAGTTGGCAAGACAGAAACTTGATGTATTGCATCAGTAAAAAAACATCTGCAGCTTTGAATACACAAAAGGTTTTGCTACTGTCACTACTCACATAGGTGTCAAGCTATTCTATAAAAATCTGACTTTGCTTTTACTTGGTGAAAACTTCTGTATAGGCCACGCCATTTAATTGTACTATCATTCAGCCAGTCTCCCATTATCAAAACCTTAAGAAGATCTTCGTCTCTCTTCTCTACTGTATCTCTCATAACTAATCAGTTAGTAGGTCCTGTCACCTCTCCCTCCACATTTATCCCATTCTCTCCTACTCCCACTGTCACCACATTAGTACAGATACTCAATTCTTCCCACCTCCACTGTCTTTCCCAATTCAACTGACCCTTCGGAACACTTTCACAATAAACTTTCTTCCTCCAAGTCTGATCAGAGCAGAGATAGTTGTTGCTGTCTTTAACTGTCTCCCCAAGGCTTAGCACAATGGCTGGCACGTAGTGGATGCTTAATAAATGCTTGGTGACTAGAGAGAGCAGAACTGGCTAACAGGGATTTGAAACCCAAAACAGAAAAAAGTAAAAGGGCACTTAGTGTGCAAGTTCAAGTCACCAGGCCTGAATGAACCATTATACCAAAAGAATTTAATGGTGTGATGGCTAAGCTAGTGTAGGTGATCTATGAAAAATCATGGAGAATGCCACAGAAACAGAGAAGTGAAAAAGGTATCCTGGTGTTTAAAGAAAAACAGAGAGAAGAGAGAACCATCTATAAATGAGAGCCAAGTTAGCTTCACTTTATTTCCTGGCAATAAAGATGGTTTGTGAAGATTTAGAAAGGGAAGCAGACACCACAAAGAGCCAGTATTATCAACTGGTCAGTCCAGATGAATGAACCTCATTTCCTTTTTTAACAAATGTTATCAGAAGAGTGCTGTAGACGTAGCTTACCTAGACTTCATCAAGTTGTCTTTGTGAACAAGAGGGAAAATATGAAGCTAGACAACAGCTGAGTTAGATTCAGAAATGGCTGAACAGATCCAAAAAACAGTCACTGTTAACATGTCAACTAAGGTCTCCAGTGGAAGTTCCCAGGGATGTGTCTTTGGCTGCTTTCTAAAAAACTGATTTGGCTGAAACTGCTCCATCCATGGTTACCAAAGATCTTTCTGTTAGCTTTTCTGGCTTTTTCTTAGTACTCACCCTCTCTGAACCTTCCTGCAGCTTTGAACTGCTTTCTTCTCCTGGAAATTCCTCCCCCAATTCTCTCACTCTCTTTCTTCTGGTTCTCCTCCTGCCTCCTTTCACTCATTCTTAAGTCTCTGTGGCTGGACCATCCTCTCTTCTAACTGCCCCCTCTGCTCTCCGGGGACTCTCCTCTTTTCTCTCTACAGCAGGGAGTCTTAACCTGCACTCCATAAACATTAAAAAAAAAACCCAACACAAAAAAACACCTTTGATAGCCTTTGAAACCTTTGGTTTCCTTTGTAATCCTATGTCTTTTTTTTTTTATACATTTAAAAACATTATTCTGAGAAGGGATCCACAGGCTTCACAGACTGCCAAAGAGGTCCGTGGCACAAAAAGCATTAAGAACTCCTACTCTACAGTATCTCTGGGTGATCTCATCTGTCACCATGGCTTCAGTGATCACTTTTATGCAGCCAACTCTCAGATCTAAATATCCAGCCATAACCTCTCTCATGAGCTCCACTCCCACATCAACCTGTTAGACATCGCCCCATAAGACAAATATCTGTTAAGCACTTAGCATGGTGCCTGGCACATAGTAGCCACTTAACGTTTGTTCCCTCCCTCCATTTCCATCCAGGTGTCCTATAGGCAAAATGTGTCTAAAACAGATGTCACCTTCCAATCTAAATCCGTTCTGCCTCCCCCCACCCAAACTTCTGTTGATGGCACATCCTTTGTCACCTACATTAGTTACCTTCAGGTCATTATTTACTCTTTCTTTCCCCTCATTTCCTATATACAATCTGTTGCTAAGTCTTGTTGATTTTACCATCACAGCATCTCTCATACCTGTCCCCTTCCTTCTACTCACATACTACTTTAGGCTTTTATCGCCTCTCATCTGGACTACTGCAAAGCCCTCCTAACTGGTCTCCTTGCCTCAAGTTTCTCCCCTTTCCAATCTATTCTCCACACATCTGCTGACCGAATTTTAAATGAAGCCCAGGTCTAACCATGTCACTCCTCTATTCTTTAAATTGCAGTAGCTCCCTAATACCTCTAGGATTAAATACAAAATGGACCTGGCATTTAAAGCCTTTTATAATTTGGCTCCTACCTATCTTTCCAAACTTGATTTTATTACCCTTCATGAACTTGTTCCAGCCAAACTGGCTTACTTACTACACACACAGACACACACACACACACACACACACCACACACACACACACACACACACGTGAACTGTGCATTCCCTTTGTTTTGGTGCTTCTTTATTTCCTCTGCATCTTTGAATCTTTAACCTCCTTCAAGGTTTCGTTCAGGTGCCACCTCCTAAAGGAAGGTCCTCTTAGTTTCCCCAGTATTGGGTGCTGTTCTTTCTCCTTTTATATTTACTGACCTTTTTACCTGGAGGTAGAATGTAAACTCCTTGAGGGTAGTGGCAGTTCTCTGCCTCCCCCTCCCCAATTTTTGTCTTTTTTTAATCCATAGCGCTTTGACCACACACGAGGCATTTAATAAAAGTTTGCCGAATTGAACTAAACTGAAGGAAGGCACAAAAGCATGCTAATATTACGGCAGATGATGCAAAGCTGGAAAGTTAACCCAACGGATGACAGTCAGTATCCAAACAGATCTTGAGAGGCTAAGATAGGTCAAATCTAATGAGACTCAATACAGGGGAAAAAATGGGAGGTTCTACACTTAAGTTCCAAAAAACTGTCTTTCCAAGTACAAGATGGGGGAGGTCGGGGTAGAAAACAGCTCACGTGACGTGGCAGCCAAAAAAGCTACCTCAATCTTCTGCTGCATTTGGAGAAGCACTGTGTCCAGAAAAAAAAGGAAATGACAATTTCCGATGTACTGTGCCCTGGCCAAACCTCCTCTGGAGGGCTGTTTTCGGTTTTTGGGTGGCATAGTTTAAGATGGACATCCTGGCTAACTGGAGAGAATCCAGAGGAAGTGCGTCCAGGAAAGTAAGGAGATTATGTTACTCAGGGAGTGAATAAAGATACTTAACTCTGGTGAAAAGAAGACTTAGGAAACCCAACTGCGGTCTTCCTCGAAGATACCCCTCCCCTTAAATACTGAAGCGGAATCAGCCTTAACCGAAGTTAGCCAAAGGACAGAACAAAGCACGAAAGGTGGAAGACCTCCTAAATACAACAATCAGAGCTATTCCGAAGGAGGAGGGGCTGTCAGAAGAGTAGTGAGCTCCCCAGCACCAGAGGTCTCCAGACAGAGCCTCCAGGAGCATCACTCCCAAGCTAATGGAGGAAATTCTGGCCCAGGTACAGCTCAGACTGTCGTTCGAGGGGCCGTCCGAGCCTCCAGCCCGTGGAAAGGGGCGGGACGGGCAGGAGTGAGCCCAGAGCACGAAAGGAGGGAGGCTGGGGGACCCCGACGGAGACCCCGAGGGTACGGTGCGGGGGTGGGAGTGGGAGCGAGCAGAGGCGGAGGCGTGGGGGAGGGGAGCAGCTGGCGGAAGGGGACGAGACGCATCGAATCCCTCCGCCCCCTTACCTCCTTGTCCGGGACCCACTGCGGTTCGTCGAGGCCAAAGGGGCTGCTGAAGGCCTGGTGCTCGGGGACCATGCGCAGCCCGCTGGGCGAGCGCACCAGCTTCTTGCCATCGCCGCGTAGGGCCGCCCCGCCAGCGGCGGCCACAGACGAGGAGGACATGGCTCCTCGGTCCGGCCCAGGGCTGCCCCAGCGGACAGTTTCCCAACCTTAGCCACCGTGTCCCAACCCCCCCTCCCCGCGGAGAACAGCCCAGCTGCCCTATCGACACGCCCGCCGATCCCCGCCGCCCAATCGCCGCCACAGCTCCGCCCTCGTCCGTCTTCTCTGAACCAATCCAGAGCTAGAGCACCACCCAGCCTCTGCACATGCGCAAGGAGGGCGGGGCGGGGCGGGGAGGTGCCATTTCCCTAAAGGCTTTCAAGAGAACGAAGAATGAGCCAATTAGCAAGCGGCGCCACGAAGGCAGCGGCGCCGGTGATTGGAGGAGGCGGAGTCGCAGCCCGTCATTGGACGGGGCCGCCGCGCGGAGGACGAACCGCGCCAAGAGAACTGAGCTGAGCTGAGGCGAGCTGAGGAAGACGGGGGTGCGCACCGCGGATGGCATCCCGGTCCGGGCGCCCACTCCTGGATCTGGGATGCACCCGGAAGGCGAGGTGGGTCCCAGAAGGTTCCAGCTTCGGGACCGCTTGGAGCTTGGGGCGGGGGCGGGGTATCTCGGCTCGTCGCGGGCCTTCGAGGCGGGCCCTGGAGCTGACCCGTGGCCGGAGGGATTCCTGGAAGGGCAGCCCGGGGGGGGAGCAGAAGGTGGGGGCTCCCTAAGAACCGAGGGAGCGCCCTGCGGGACCCTACCCCGGACTAAACCGCAGAAGAATAACTCACGTTTATGTAACACTTTGCAAAGTGTTTCTTGTCTTAGATAGTGTAAACATTCGTATTTTTACAGGTAAGAAAACCGAGGCCCAGAGGGCGGGTGACTTATCCTAGAAACAATCAGGGAGTTCTTCCTGGAGCCCCCTGACCAGGAAGTGAGTGTTGTGATCGGACCCGTTCTTTAAACACACCAGTTTGGCTCTTGTGCGGATGCCGGATTGGGGACGGATCCGGAGGTAGAGGTGCTGGGTGTTGAGTGGCATCCACGTGAGTGGCGGGGGGGCAAAGGCGAGCCGTTCTGGAGGCAAAGCTGGTGAGACCTGTCAATTGATCGGGTATGGGGCTTCAATGAGAGTGAAGAGTCACAAAGATGACTTGAGAGAATTAAAAGATGATGGTGTCCTTGGTAAAAATTAGTAAATCAGAGAGAGGAGTGAGGTCGGGGGTTAGGGAAGATAATCATATGTTTTGTCGATGTTGAGTTTGAGACGCCTATGGGGAATCCAGATGGAGATGTCCGCTTAATTTTTGCCTTTGTATCTTCTGTAGCTAACGCAGTGCCTGACTCGTAATAAGCATTTGGTTTTATTTTTATTTTTAGGCAGTTGGGGTTAAGTGACTTGCCCAGGGTCACACAGCTAGTAAGTGTCAAGTGTTTCGTCTGGAGATGTGGGGCTAGAGTTGTGGAGAGAAGTGAGGGCCGCGATTGTAGATTTGGGAGTCTTTTGCACTGAGATGATAATTGAACCTGTGGGAGGAGCTTGTGAGGTTACCTAGGCAATTTGGAGAGAGTAGAGAGCTCAGGACAGAGCCCTGAGGTATATGCATTCTTAAGTGGTAAAACGCAGATAATGATCCTGCAAAGGAAACAAAAAGTGATCTGACTGGTAGGGCATAACTGACCTGGGAGATAAAGCTCTTCATAGCCTGGCCTCCTCTTGTCTTTCTGTTCTCCCTTCAATGTTTTCTTCAAGGCAAGCGTACTTGCAATTCCTCCTATATGACTTTCTACCTCCTGGCTCTTCCACTTGTCACTGACTGCCCTTCCCTACCTGAAATGCTGTGCCTCCTTACTTCTGCTTCTTGAATTCATGGGTTTCCTTCAGTGAACCTTAAACCTCAGCTCAAGTGCTGTCTTTTGTAAGAGGTCTTTTCTGGTCTCATTAGCTATTAGTGCTCTCCCATCCAAGGGGACTTTGTTTCTGTTTCTGTTAGTTAATCTATATATGTATGCATGTCTCTTCTTCCACCACCGCCCAAAGATGCAAACAGCTGTTTAATTTTTGTCTTTGTGTCTTCTGTAGCTAATGCAGTGCCTGACCCATAATAGGCATTTTTTTAGGCAGTTGGAGTTAAGTGACTTGCCCAGGGTCACACAGCTAGTAGGTGTCAAATATTTGGTCTGAGGCTGGATTTGAACTCAGGTCCTCCTGACTTCAGGGCCAGTGCTCTATCCACTGCCCCACCTGGCTGCCCCTGTATAATAGGCATTTATTAAAAATTTTTTTGAGTGTTGTGAATAACCAGTCAGAGGTTATGGCTGGATATTTAGATCTGGGTGTCAACAGCATAAAAATGTTGATTGAACCCATGGTAATTGATAAGAGATACTGTAAAGAAGGGATTCTTAATGCTTTCTGTGTCATGGTTCACTTTGGCATTCTGATGGTGCCTGCAAACCTTTTAAAGACTAATGTTTTTAAGTTAACAAAATAAAAAGCAGGATTACAAAGGAAACCAATGTAAGAGCTCCTGCTATAGAGAGAAAAGAAGAGAGGTTTTAGAATGGTGTAGAGGACATTCATTCTGTTGGGGGCAAACAACACGTACACGTAATACAAGTGTATATAAGACATAAAAAGTAGATATTCAAGGAGCTGTCCGACTCTAAACTCAGTGGTGTATAATTGATAGCTCTTTATTAGACTATAAACTCCCTGAAAGCACCAACTGGTAAGAACCGATTTAATCCTATAAACCCTCTGTGCTAGGATCAGACTTTATCTTCCCAGCATCCTGCACTATAGGTATTGTAATGTTAAATGGCTTCTTAGCACTTTAAAACTGGGAGGAACCTTGGTGATCATGAAGTATTGTCATTTCATAGATGAAGAAACTGAAGGCTAAGGAGGCCACTCAATGAGTTAGCGTCAGAGCCAGGACCAAAGCCTAGGTCTTCTAACTCCTAGTCCAGTATTCTTTCCATTGTGAAATGATGCCTACAGGGACGAGTCCTAGCCTTCTTTCCGTCTGTTATCATTACCCTGACTTATCCTGAGGCCTCATATCAGCAGTTCTCTGCCTGATCTTTCCCCATGACAACTGTCTAATTCCCCTTATGTCCCTCCTCAGGATGTCAGCACAAACAAGATAGGGAGTAAACACTAAATTCAAAGGAAAGCCCGGGCAAAATGCTATGGATAAAAGGAAAAGGAGGAAGAATCAGCAGTCTTTTTGTGGATATGTTCAGCACCTTTGTTCAGTTGTCCATTGTATAGCTCCACTAAAATCTTCCAATGCCATATCATGGCATGGAGGGAACCCTGGGTTTTCAAAGTCCATCCTAGTGTACAGCCATCTCTGGAAGCCACCACCAACCTGGGGAAAATTTGAGAATAAACTGTCTTAGGATCTGCCTAGCAGAGTGCATGAGGTCTTTATTATAAGAAAATTAGTCACCAGTTGATCATTTTTTTTAAAGCAACAATTCATGAAACAAATTACTATTCATAGAAGATTTTTATTTTCTTTGGTAGGGAGAGTACTTACATCATTGAAGTTATGACTCTTGAAGTATTGAAGATATGTGTGTCATAGCCTCCTACCAAATTGTAGGTAAGCTCCATGAAGTCAAGGACTGGATATTATTCAAGCATTTAACAAAATTTTTTTTTCATTTAAATTTGATACATTTTGTTTTTACGTTACAAGCATTTACAGATTATTCCCACTCCATGAAGTCTTTTGTAACAAAGTAAAACAAAATTAACAAAATTTTATAACAAAATTAATTACTTACAGCATTTTACATCTATAACACCTTCTACCACATCTGTTTTTTAAATAAACAGAAATCTATTTTCTCTCCCTCCCATGTCCCAACCTAGAAAGAAAAACAGATTTCGAGTAATAAATACACATTAGCAATATTTTGTAAAATGTGAACTTTTTTTTAAGGCAATTGGGGTTAATTGACTTGCCCAGGGTCACACAACTACTAAGTGTCAAGTGTTTGGTCTGAGGCTGGATTTGAACTCAGGTCCTCCTGACTTCAGGGCCAGTGCTCTATCCGCTGTGCCACCTAGCTGCCCCTGTATAATAGGCATTTATTAAAATTTTTTTTGAGTGTTGTGAATAACCAGTCAGAGGTTATGGCTGGATATTTAGATCTGGGTGTCAACAGCATAAAAATGTTGATTGAACCCTTGGTAATAGCTGCCCCTAAAATGTAAACATTTTGTATTGACACAACACAAGCAAATACATAAATAGTTCCTCAAGAACAAAGTAAGCATTCGCAGAACTTGTTGGTTTCTATGTTTTAGTGTCCTGATTGCTAATAAAAAGGACAGGTATGTTCTTTAACTTTGATGGTATGGTAACAGCTTGTACTTGGCCAATACTGTTGTCTTTTATTGTTGTCTTTATTTAAATTGCAGTAGTAATTTTTGCATGTGGTTGCTTTATGGCACTCTTTTCTTTCTATATGACTGTTTGCTAAGCCGCTGTTAGTTATTTGATATTATTTTGATTTTCCTCTGTTATGAAAAATAGTACTGCTATGAATATTTTTGCACATATGGGTCTTTTTTGCTGTCAGCAGCCTTGGAGGTATAAACCCAAGAGTGGAGTCTTAGGACCAATGGTATGAACAATTCAGTAATTTTTATTGAATAAT